CTCTACAGCTAAGATGGTGAACAACAGCTCGACCTGGAGCTGGGCTGCCATGAGTCGCCGGTGATGGCGTGGGCTGCAGTGGGGCTGGCCAGCAGCGGCCGTGAGCTGTTGTGAGCGGCCGTTAAATGGCCGGCGAGCGACTGCCTCACCCAGAAAGAGTGCAATGATAAAACCGACATGGGCAGTGAAGCGATGTCCTCCACAACTAGACTGAAGAACAAAAAGGACAGCAACTTGTCTGTTCCCCTCCCCCAATTGCCCAATAAAATCTTAAAAAAAAAAAAAAAAGTAAAATGAAGAAACTTTGGGTCACTCATAACATTACCACACAGAGGAAGGCCCGTTTAACACTGTGTTGTGAATTTTTCACACCCCTTTCTGGGTATATACACAATTTGTTTTTTTTAAGAACAGGATCATGCAGATGCAACCTGTTGTTTTTATTTTAACTTTTTATTGGGGAACTGTGTGTTTTCCCAGGACCCATCAGCTCCAAATCAAGCAGTTGTCTTCAATCTAGTCGTGGAGGGGGCAGCTCCTTGGCCCATGTGGGAATTGAACCGGTAGTCTTTGTGTTTTGAGCCTGTGCTCTAACCACCTGAGCTAACCAGCCACCCAGATGCAACCTGTTTTTGCCCCCACTTAACTATATATCATAGCAGCTGTTCTGTGTTAATAAGTAATGGTCTCCTCCATCATTAATGGCTCTATTGTTTGGATTTATTAAACTTAATTAAAGCAGCCCTCCACTGATGCATATGTAAATTGTTTCTAATTTTTCACTCCTATGAGCAGTGCTGTAACCATCACCTTGTACACATATCATCAGACAGGTGTCAATTATTGCCTTAGGAAACATTCCAGGGAGTAGTAGGTCAAGGGACGTGTGTTCATTTAGATCAGCGGTTCTCAACCTTCCTAATGCCGCGACCCCTTAATACAGTTCCTCATGGTGTGGTGACCCCCAACCATAAAATTATTTTCGTTGCTCTATAATTGTAATTTTGCTACTGTTATGAATCGTAATGTAAGTATCTTTTTGTTTTCCGATGGTCTTAGGCGACCCCTGTGAAAGGGTCGTTCGACCCCCAAAGGGGTCACAACCCACAGGTTGAGAACCGCTGATTTAGATGATGGTGTATGTTTTCTTCTCCAGGAAGAAAAGTCGAATCCCCAGTGGGGCACTAAGTGTCTTCTGGGCGAGGATCCCATACTATACTTCCTGGTGGGATCCGGGGCCTGGCCGAGGGGCCCCGCTTAGGAGCAGTGACCTAAGAAAGATTCTTCTTTCAGACTTGGGGAGACCTTGTCAGGTCCTGAGGTCACCAGAATTAGGTGCCACAGGAGGAAGGATGGGGACCCACTGCGGCCCCTGGGGCACACCACCTGGGGTAGAGGGCACAGTCCCCTGAGGGTGACTCAGAGATGTGGCTCACCCTTCAGTGTTGTGTGGCTTTGCTGAGGAGAGACCAAGAAACGCTGCAGAGCAGCGTTTGGGGACGCCACGGGGCCAAACCTATCACTGACGCCCAGGG